GTACACTGTGTACTCTTATATATAATCCCCTTTGGTTATTTAAGAAAAGATTGGTTTTGAATAAACAAGGGTATCATGGTCAGAAATTGTCAATCTTGGTAGTTATATTGGTGCTCTGCTTTCTTTCAGAGACTGAGAAAGAGCAGCTTCTCGGTGGTGAGTATGAACCTGCAGACGAGAGTCAGTACAGGGTGCAGCGGGCTCGGGGCTCCTCGGGTGTCTCCCCGTCGCAAGGGGGCACCTCGGGATTCCCATGAGTGTGCTGTGGCTGGTCAAGGTTACTGTGTACCTCCGACCACCGCCAGGTTTGCCATGCAAAGACAGCGAATATTCGTGCAGTCAGAAGTGTTTTTTTTTGTTTTTGTTTCTATGCTTAAGGCATAGAAGTGATCATTGTGAGCACTCAAGCTTTGAGTAAAAATGTTGAGACTTCAGGTATCCACCCCAGTAAGATAACACTGGCAGGGCAGGGGGGAAGCCTTGTGAAGCAGATCTGATTGATATTGATTCTCAGATTGGCCAGTGCCCTCATGAAGGCAGATTGATGAGTCTTGTCATGTCCACCAGAATAATGTCCTTCTCTTCTCTCTCCTGCAGAATGGGGCAGAATGATCGACGCTGCAGGTAATTTCCTTCTTTCTTTTCTTCACACCTATAAGCCCAGTTCCCACTGAGAGGAGGCTCTTCGACCCATCTTCCCTGTTTGTGATTAAATAGCTAGTTGTTCCAAGAGTCCCAACATGGCTGGGCAGCTTGTCCCAGACCCCTACAACTCTCTGTGTAAAGACGTGCCTCCTGTTTCAGACCCCCACAAATCTGTTAGGACATCTTTATTGGACCTCAGATACCTGCCCTCAACCTATGCTTGGACTCATCTGTGTGTCCACGGATCCTGCTGCTGAATCCTGTCTCCAGAAAACTTCTGGTCCTTTTCTCTATCGGAGTGTGTTTTCAAACCGAGCAGGAGGCACTTCTTGACACAAAGGGTGGTGGGAGTGTGGAACACGCCGCTCCAGCCATTCTGTTAAAGCCAATATCCTGGCTCCTTTCAAGAAGCAGCCGGCTGAGATCCCGGGACCAATGAGCTACTGAGTATCAGACGGGCCAGACGAGCCGAGCAGCCTCCTCCTGTCTGTGACCCGTCTTGTGTCTCGTGGTCTGTGGTGTCCGATCTGCTGCGATGATGGAGACCAGTGTTTGTTCTGCTCCCCCCCAGTGGACGTGACGCTGGATCTGAAGACGGCACACCCCCTCCTGAAGCTGACCCCTGATGGGAAGAAAGTCCGGGACGCGCTGGATCCTGACCCGGCCCGGCCCGACAGTCCTAGGCGGTTCCGCCACCACACCTGTGTCCTGGGCTGCGAGGGCTTCTCCTCGGGCCGGCAGTACTGGGAGGTGTGCCTGGAGCAGAAGCAGTCCTGGTGGGTGGGCGTGATGGCGGAGTCGGCCTGGGAGAAGCAGGAGTC